GACAGAATTCAAAAATTGAGATCAGCTTACCACTGGTTCAGAAAATGGGATCTTTCTTAAGGGTGTAATTCCATAATTTTCGTCAAAATTTCACTTATCAGGTAAGCAATGGCTTACCCTAAGTTGTTATTGAAGAGATTGGAAATATTTGCAGCCTGGTCGGCTTATATGATTGCTTATTGTAGGATGAACAATTGCACAGGCGCACATAGTAACTATATTGAAAACTATAATTGTGAAATGATTGAGTTATTTAATAATTGTTTTTTAGACTACTCACTGGACATTACTATGCCTCCTAAATACAAGTCTGGTGCTCAAAAGAGGAAAAGAAAATGAAGTGAAATTGCATTAATTCAAAGTCAAGCAGGGGATATTAACAAGTACTTCAAAAGTGACAATGTGAATGCGTTGACTGAGGATGAAGTAGAGATTCAACCTGCCCATGTTAATGAAGTGGATGATAAGGATGAAGAAGTGAGTCAACCTACCGATGTTAACGAAGTAGATGATAAGGAAGAAGAAGTGATGAAGCCCGCCTCTAATAATGAAGAAGATGATAAGGAAGAAGAGGGTTGCTTTTCTCTAAATTTGGATGATCCCGGGAATTGGAAAATTATTGATCAAAGAACAAGGGATTACTTAGTTGAAAGGGGTCCAAAAAGAGTTGATGACATCTCATTTCCGAAAGACTATACAAAAAAACATTTCGATTCTTCACAATATAAGCGATTGCTACCAAATGGGAAAACAGTTGATAGAAGATGGCTAGTATATTCAGTGTCTATGGATAGGATCTTCTGCTTTTGTTGCAAGTTGTTTAAAACACCAATAAATGTGACAAAAGTTGGCCAACTAGGTAATGAAGGACTCAAAGATTGGCATAATTTGCATCGGTCTGTTAAAAGTCATGAAGGAAATGAGGAGCATTTACGTTGCATGACTAGTTGGATTGAACTGGAAAATAGGTTTCGATCAAAAACTACAATTGATAAAAGCATTGAATTGTTGATTGATGCTGAAAGAGAACATTGGAGACATGTATTAAAAAGGATAATCACTATTGTTAAAAGACTTGCAAAAAATACATTGCCATTTCGAGGAGATGATGAGAGGCTACATGTTGAGAACAATGGCCTATTTATACAAATGGTCGAAATGGTTAGTGAATTTGATCCAGTAATGCAAGAGCACCTTCGGCGAGCTAAAGCAAAAGAGATTCAATATACATATCTTGGCAAAAAAATTCAAAATGAGTTGATACAGTTGTTGGCTAATCAAGTGAGAAGATCAATTGTCAAGAAAGTTAAAGATGCAAAATATTTCGCAGTTATACTTGATTGTACTCCAGATGCAAGTTAGGAGGAGCAAATGTCTTTAATTGTACGATTTGTAGATAATTTGGCAAACTTACCTACAGTTCAAGAACATTGGCTAGAATTTTTGAAGGTAGATGACACAACAGGACTTGGACTTGTAACCGAGCTTCAAAAGGCTTTGATAAAAATTGATCTCGATATTGATGACATTAGAGGGCAAGGGTATGACAACGGATCTAACATGAGCGGGAAGTACAAAGGTGTGCAAAGAAGGGTCCATGAAATGAATCCCTGAGCTTTCTATACTCCATGTGGCGCTCATAGTCTAAATCTAGCATTATATGATATGGTGAACTGTTGTTCCAAAGCTGTATCCTTCTTCGGAGTGATACAACACATCTACATATTATTTTCCTCTTCTACCAAGCGATGGAAAATTTTCAAAGATAATGTACAAGGGTTGACAGTGAAGTCATTGTCACAAACACGTTGGGAAAGTCATGTTGAAAGTGTGAAGCCTATAATGGAGCAAACTGCACAGATAAGAATTGCATTACTTGATTTAGCAGAAAGTAATGAAGATCCTAAAGTGAAGAGTGAAGCCGAGTCATCAGCAACACATGAACTTCAAAATTTTGAGTGTTTGTTTAGCATGATAATCTGGTACAGATTGTTGCATGCTGTGAATATTGTGAGTAAATTTCTTTAAACCGAATCCATGGATATTGATTATGCTATCGACCTCTTGCAAGGGCTTGTTTCATTTCTTGAAAAATATAGAGAAATTGGATTTGCTATTGCCAAAGATGAAGCGACAAAAAAGATAAGCGAAATGGGAATTGAAACTGTATTTACAGAAAAACGCATAATTCGAAGAAAAAACAATTTGATGAAAGCGGTAGTGATGAGGTAAAACAATCAGCAGAAGAATCTTTTAGAGTTGAGTACTTTATTTTTATAATTGATCAAGCTCTATCTTCTATGAGGACTCGATTTGAACAATTCAAACAATATGATGACATATTTGGATTTTTGTTTAGTTTGAAGAGGTTAAGGGATGCAACTTTTTCAAGTTTGTTGAAATCTTGTTTGAATCTTAAGAAATATCTTCAACATAATGGGCGTTCGGATATTAGTGGGGATGATTTATGTTCGGAGTTACAAGTCTTGAGATGTTATATACCAAGTGAAGCAACAAGAGCAATTGAAGTGCTACGATATTTGAAGACATTGGATGTTTGTTTTCCAAATGCTTATACTGCTTACCAAATTTTGTTAACCATACCGGTTATAGTTGTATCTGCGGAAAGAAGTTTCTCAAAATTAAAGTTGATCAAGACCTATTTCCGATCAACTATGTCGCAAGAAAGATTAAACGGGTTGGCTATGTTATCAATAGAAAAAGAAATGGTTGAGCAGCTAAATTATTCAAATTTGATTGATGTTTCTAAAATAGCAAGACGAATAGTATTTAACTAATTGTTTGAAATTTTTGGTTTGATAGTTTATAATATAAATCGTTTCTATGATATATTTCGTTGTTGTTTTAATATTAGTTTTTTAAGTTAGCAATGAGTCGCATAATACACCTTTGAATTTTGTCGCTGGGGGGCCTACTTTTCATCGTTCGCCTCAGGGCCCATCAGACACAGGACCGGCTCTGTCAAGCAGATATATGAAAAGGAAGAAAATTAAATTTGAAATGAATTTACTTTATTTGAAGTTCTAATTGCTTTGTGGATGGTTCATTTATTACACTTACTTTTAGAGGAATTATCAGAAATGGCTCAACGATGAGAAAAGAAGTGTGAAAAGACCTTCATTTTGTGATGTCATAAAGAAGCGTCTTTCATCTACTCAAATATGTTTGTCTAAAATGTCCTCCGCTTCTTTGTTTTTCATTCCTCTTCATTCTTTTTTGCCATTATTACAAGCAGAGAGCGGAAGGGACTACATCTCGCAGTTGCCACCACAAAAATCTGGTGGTTTGCTCTATGTATTGTAAGGGCCTATTAAACTCAACTCAACATTATTTAGGAATTTGATTTAAGAGGAAAATGGAGGCTAGACATCAATGGTGTGAAAATAAGGCACATGCTGATTTTTGAAAGCATAGTTGGCATAGTGGAGAATAAAGGTGACATCACCAAGATAAAAGAACGGCCATGTGGCGAAAAGTGAAAAGAAGTACAAAACAGGGGTTGATTAGGTGTAACGGCGGGTCCTATTGACTTGGCATTTACTTAATAATTTAGGCATGCATGTCTATTTAACCCATGTTCTATATTTTCACGGATTGATGGTAGAAAAAATATGTTATGCACTTGAAAGAAGTATAAAATTTATCAAATTGAGAATGTTTCATATCCCTGTAGGGGATTATAACACAATTAAATTTTGTTCTTAATTTGTTTTGAACGTTTGAAGCTCTAGTTGGATGGCTTTTTTAATGATTTTTAGCTATCCTTGATTGATATTGTTGAAGTAGTTGATGTTTGTCTTCTTTCCCTTTTTTGACCAGGGCTCATCAAAGTTGCGAAAAATACCTGTGGTGATTATGTCGCCCAAGAGGCTAGAGCTTTGATGCTTAAGGGTGTTGAAGAGCTCGCTGAGGCACTTAATGCCACAATTGGTTCAGTGATCTTGCTATTGTGCACCAGCAATCAATTTGAAGAATAGATGGGGGCACTTGTATATAATTTCATAGATATGTTCATGATATTTTTGTGGCAACATTGTGAAACAAGTGTTATTTCAACTTCTTTTTGTCAATTTTTTTTGCCGTTTATTTTCACTTTCAGTCGGCGTGCTCTTGTTTATCAATGATGTAGTCGACTAAAGTTTTGGTTGTTTCAATTTGTGAGGAGAGGGAGGGGGAGGGGGGTAATGTAGTGATTGAGGAAAGGATGTTGTCACCATGGCAAGTAGCATTGAGTTCAAGGAAAAGGTCAAAAACATTGGTGCGAACCTCGTGAAGCAGGTTGCAAATGCCACCAATGATGTTGCTGGAGATGGTGAGCTTTCTACTTAGGTTGTAGACTACTGATTTTTCACTATATATAT